ACCACGAGAGATTTTTGAGCCCAAATCCACCAAAAGAAAAGAGGAGACTGCCACGACTATCGAAACTAAAGCCAAAACAATTGAAAAGAAGATAAAATTAAAACTTTAAATTTGACTGAAACTTGTTTTATTTATTGTGAAATTTTAAAATACGGTGTAGTATCCGTATTCAGGGTCATGGTGCTAAGCTTGCTGTCTAAGTTACCACTACTAATCGACACCTGCCAATAATAGTGAATGGTTTATGGTTTAGCTTGACACGCTCTCACTCTCTCGCCTAAGCCATTGAAAAATTACAGTTGAAATAATCATTTTTTATTTAACTAATTTGTAAGTAATTTTGATATCCAATTGTTATATAAAATTTACTACTCTTATAGAAAGTGTAAACTTAGTTTAGTTCAGTACTTCTAGGGACATTTTTGAAACAAGTTATTTTTGCCTTAGACTTTTTCACAATTTTTAAAAAGTTTTCGACTAACGACTGAACCGGCTTTTCAATAATAAATCACACGACTCATTCTTATGTTTTTTCGCCGTAATTGAATTAACGCAGATAAAAAACTTGCTTTTTCAATCAAAACGAACACTAATACATTGTTTTTCCTCACTTTTATTTTCCGGAACAATAAAAAATAGCAATTCTTGTCAAACTAATTTCGTTTTTTTTTTCAATTGTTCATCAACTTTTGCGCCATTAAAACTTTTTTTACAGCTCTTTTTACTCTTTAAAACAGCTCTTAAAACAGCTCTTGCGCCGTTAAAACTCTTTTTACAGCTCTTTTTACTCCTTAAAACAGCTCTTTTTACAGCTCTTAAAACTCTTTTTACAGCAATTAAACCTCAGCAACGCAAATTACGAAAAACTTTTCGACCGAAAATTTTCTGTAAGATTTGAGGATATATTCAAAACTGAGAAGAATTTGAAGTTCAAGAAAATTACGAATTGTCTTATTCATGTTTTATAACCAGTTTTGAGTCGGTCTCATCACAATTGGTTTTACGATTTTTTGTCATTCTAATAACACATAAAACAATCTCGATACAATCAAGAAAAGGATCGACCGGAATTTTAAAAAAAAATCAAGTTTCAGATACAAATACAAAAAATGGTTTCAAGTTTTTTTTCACTAAATTTTTTCAAAATGTTTGATTACGCACCGCATTACTGAAAAAATGTCCTGCTTTTTAAGTATTTATTATTCTAAATTCTTCCATTTTTATATTCGTAAAAAAATAAAACAGGATTTCGATGATAATTATAATGATAGCCTTTGATCATTGTGAAAACTTCTGATCAAAGTTTTCACAATGATAATTATAATGATAGCCTTTGATCATTTATTTTAGAGGAAAATGTTGGCCTTATTTTGTACAGATTTGGCGTTTTTATTTTTATAACTTCTGTATCTTGAGTAGCTAATTTTTTTTGGAGTTTCCTTGATATTTAATTTGGTGATTCAGTAAAGCATCGTTTCAGTTGGAATCGTTTTTTAATACAAAGCTTACTGCATAAACAAGACTTCTCGTATATCAGGGAAAAATCTTGAATGTTCTGACTGCCCCTTAATCCACATCGAATAGATTTTCGGGAAAAAATATTGAAAAACTATAAGCTTTTGAACAATATCAGAGCTCAGGTGTTAAAGTTCTAGTCGTACGAAACTAATATGAATGAATAGGTGGCCTTAATTCAATTTGGAATGATTTGCGGGAGAAGGGATAATTCGCCACGCATAAATAATTTGCGTAACGCTTTCAGGATTATCAATAAAATCTAAAGACTTGCCTACAATTTTCAAAATTTTCTGGTACGTCTAAACTGATGCAATTTTGCACAACTTTTCTCTCTAAAATAAAACATGCATTCTGTAAATTCTATCTGTCAGGAGATGCTCAGGTTAGACCAGAAGGGAACACACACGAAGGGCAACCCAGACCGAATTTGCAGAACCTCAGTCTAGTTAGAAGTTGTTAGTAGCCGAAGGTCTGGTTACACCAGAAGTCAAGGAACAAGGTCAAACAAAAGCGAACAACCAAACAGAAGCAACAAATAATAAGGAGAGGAGGATAAAACTGATTTTACGAATGAAGAATTAAAGGCACAAGCATCAACAATAGCTTCAAGTAAAAAATATTGAGACATGAGATTTTTTGGGAGTGCATTACGCCACGCAATCAAACTATTCGACATGGACACAGTACCAGTTTCAGCAGGAGAACTGGCCCAACCAGAAAAGAGTTCGCCTGGGCGGATTGGTAGTTTTTTCTGGTGTCACCACGAGAGATTTTCGAGCCCAAATCCACCAAAAGAAAAGAGGAGACTGCCACAACTATCGAAACTAAAGCCAAAACAATTGAAAAGAAGATAAAATTAAAACTTTAAATTTGACTGAAACTTGTTTTATTTATTGTGAAATTTTAAAATACGGTGTAGTATCCGTATTCAGGGTCATGGTGCTAAGCTTGCTGTCTAAGTTACCACTGCTAATTGACACCTGCCAATAATAGTGAGTGGTTTATGGTTTAGCTTGACACGCTCTCACTCTCTCGCCTAAGCCATTGAAAAATTACAGTTGATATAATCATTTTTTATTTAACCAATTTGTAAGTAATTTTGATATCCAATTGTTATATAAAATTTACTATTCTTATAGAAAGTATAAACTTAGTTTAGTTCAGTACTTCTAGGGACATTTTTGAAACAAGTTATTTTTGCCTTAGACTTTTTCACAAGTTTTTAAAAAGTTTTCGACTAACGACTGAACCGGCTTTTCAATAATAAATCACACGACTCATTCTTATGTTTTTTCGCCGTAATTGAATTAACGCAGATAAAAAATTTGCTTTTTCAATCAAAACGAACACTAATACATAGTTTTTCCTCACTTTTATTTTCCGGAACAATAAAAAATAGCAATTCTTGTCGAACTATTTTCGTTTTTTTTTCAATTGTTCAAATTTTGCGCCATTAAAACTTTTTTTACAGCTCTTTTTACACCTTAAAACAGCTCTTAAAACAGCTCTTGCGCCGTTAAAACTCTTTTTACAGCTCTTTTTACTCCATAAAACAGCTCTTTTTACAGCTCTTAAAACTCTTTTTACAGCCATTAAACCTCAGCAACACAAATTACGAAAAACTTTTCGACCGAAAATTTTCTGTAAGATTTGAGGATATATTCAAAACTGAGAAGAATTTGAAGTTCAAGAAAATTACGAATTGTCTTATTCAGGTTTTATAACCAGTTTTGAGTCGGTCTCATCACAATTGGTTTTACGATTTTTTGTCATTCTAATAACACATAAAACAATCTCGATACAATCAAGAAAAGGATCGACCGGAATTTTAAAAAAAAATCAAGTTTCAGATACAAATACAAAAAATGGTTTCAAGTTTTTTTTCACTAAATTTTTTCAAAATGTTTGATTACGCACCGCATTACTGAAAAAATGTCCTGCTTTTTAAGTATTTATTATTCTAAATTCTTCCATTTTTATATTCGTAAAAAAATAAAACAGGATTTCGATGATAATTATAATGATAGCCTTTGATCATTGTGAAAACTTCTGATCAAAGTTTTCACAATGATAATTATAATGATAGCCTTTGATCATTTATTTTAGAGGAAAATGTTGGCCTTATTTTGTACAGATTTGGCGTTTTTATTTTTATAACTTCTGTATCTTGAGTAGCTAATTTTTTTTGGAGTTTCCTTGATATTTAATTTGGTGATTCAGTAAAGCATCGTTTCAGTTGGAATCGTTTTTTAATACAAAGCTTACTGCATAAACAAGACTTCTCGTATATCAGGGAAAAATCTTGAATGTTCTGACTGCCCCTTAATCCACATCGAATAGATTTTCGGGAAAAAATATTGAAAAACTATAAGCTTTTGAACAATATCAGAGCTCAGGTGTTAAAGTTCTAGTCGTACGAAACTAATATGAATGAATAGGTGGCCTTAATTCAATTTGGAATGATTTGCGGGAGAAGGGATAATTCGCCACGCATAAATAATTTGCGTAACGCTTTCAGGATTATCAATAAAATCTAAAGACTTGCCTACAATTTTCAAAATTTTCTGGTACGTCTAAACTGATGCAATTTTGCACAACTTTTCTCTCTAAAATAAAACATGCATTCTGTAAATTCTATCTGTCAATTAAAACTCAAAACTAAACAAGAAGGCTCGTAACAGGTTGAACTATTCTTGACGTTTCGAGAGGAAGAAAAACGTTTTCGTGAAAGCACTGATAAGTTAATCACAAAAAAAATCATGCCCTCTTTGCTTTGATTTTGTCCTTCAGTAAGTATATTAAAAGAAACTGTATGTTAATAAACTGGTAAGGATTAATCAGATCGAGTTGCTTGAATATATACCACAAATTTTAGCTCGAAATTTTTCGCGCGTTAGTTGTCCCAAACTGACTAAAATCACAAATGCCAAACCACCACAATTCTTTATATAATGGTCACAGGTACAAAACTTTTTTTAAATGAGCTAAGCACATCAGAAGTTTCGAGATAAAATGGATGTCAAACAAGCAAGGTGAAAAAGGCAGGTAAAAGCAGGTGAAACATAAATAGCAATTTAAGCTTGTTTGGCAAATTTTGAACCAAAAATATCGTGTCTTCAAAATAACCTTCAAAACTAGGATATAACTGCGTCAAATGCGCTTTGGATCGCCAAAAAATGGATGCTGAAAACAGTACCGACGGAAGACCTTAAGGGTCGGCAAGTGATGGACTCCCTGAGGGAGGGGGGGGGGGGGGGGAGAGATTGCTTTCGCCTCCCTCCTAAATCCGCTACTGTTACGAGCACATACACTCTGCCATTTTCTTCGAACAAAAATGTATACAAAACATAGAGAAGTTTCACAAACTATTTCTACTAAAACATATCACCGTTAAAGTAGGAGGTTTTATATCAGAATTCTTTCCTAAATTTGTTCCAGAAATTTTTGACTTAGTTACCAAATTTTCAAATTTTGACTTCTTCTCATACTAGATCAGTTATTGACATGTTGTCTTTGATCCATTCTTCGAAGGATGAAACTCGGGCGAAGTATGTTCCGTTTCGACAGAAATTGTCGTCCACAAAACTAGCAACTCCATACAAGCATTTGACATCACCCGACTTATTCAAAACCACTAGTGGCCCTCCCGAGTCTCCGAAGCAGCCACTAGTCGGCTGTCCTTTTGGTCTAGTGCAAACAGCTATATTTGTATCCTTTTCGCAACCTTCGAAAAATTCCACCAGCTCTGTTTCTTGAAGGACTTGGGTTATATTTTTTTCTCTACCGTCAGTTACGCCCATTCCTGAGAGTATCAATTTGTGAACTGAATCTGTAAAAACTTTTTGACACATTGGTATTCTGCGGCCACTAACTGGTCGCGCAAGTTTAATGAGAGCCACGTCACAGTCTGGGGACGGCCCATGCACATACCTAAAAATCACATCACAATAAAAAATAAAATTACCAAAACTATAAATCGAGTTGACCTACTATTGTACTTCTGATGCATAGGAATATGCGAATACTCGGTTACTGAGCACAAATATTCTTTTTTATCCCAATGTTTTGTACTAACTGATTTTCAAAATAATCGATAACTAATTAGGTCTTTTTATCAAAAAGGAAAAGAACTTTTTTTTTCAATTTATCATCAAATTTTGTTGATCTTTTTTTTGGGGTTGAACGAACTTATTTTCTGAGCTCTCCACAATCAATAAATAGACCCTTTTTAACCAAATTTTTTTGCGAATTTTGGGGCCAAATTTTCACCACAAAATGGATCATTTTTTTTTTAGTTAATCGAAAAATTACGCAAAAACTACAAAGTTATTTGATGAAAAACTACAAGTTCTCGAAATGCATAAACCCCGACAACTGTCTTAAAGAACATATATTTTTGTCAGTATATACTAAATTTGAGGGGGGAGTGCGCGCCGAAAAGCGCAATTTTCTGGTCAAAATTTTTTCAAAAAATTCTTAAAAATGCCTTTTTTCTGTTTTTTTTTTCAAAATTTTGCCTGCGGTACTAAAAAATTGAACAAAACAAGGTCTTTCTGATGCTTTGGGAAAACTTGGAAAATCATTTTGGCCAACTTAAATCAAGTCGAATAATTTTTTTTTGAAAATCCGCCCTCGCTAGAGAAAATCTTTGATTCGCCCTGTATTATATATTACAATATAACAATCAATTGTAAAATCCTTACCTGGCTCGTATACTGAAAACCAGGGGCGTATCTAGGAGTTTCCCGAAAGGGGCGGATTTTCCCAAATCAATAAATAGACCCCATTTTGACCAAATTTTAAGCGCCGCAGGTAAACTTTTAACAAAATTGGCCAAGATGCATTTTTAGCCACTTTTTGAAAAGTTTTGACCAAAAAAATTACGCTCCCTCAAAACCAAAGACGGCAAAGACGCCTTTAGAAAATTTTCAGGGTCAGTCAGCAACAAATGGATATCTCAAAGTAAAGCAAAAGGGGGACCTTTTGGGTCGTCAGGGGGTCGAGCCCGAGGGGGCGTCTTTTTTTGGTCAACATTTTTCAAAAATTCACAAGCTACAAGAGGTATTCACAAACAAGCTACAGGGTTTACTAGAGTAGTTACCATTCTAGTAACCAAAAACAGTAGCAAAATCCCGTCCTGCACATTGAATTCAAAATTTGCGGGATTGGTAATTTGCTGAGGGGTCTTTAATCTAGATAGGCTCTATTAAGGTTAGAAATGGGAATTGGTCAATTTTTGTATTATTAATTATTTTCAGGGAAAAAAAGATTATATGAAAAAGTTTTTTAGCATGAAATCAATAGATAAACCGCTCAAAAACCGTTCAAATCTTGCGCGGTTTTTGAGCGGTTTGTTCAGATAAACTGTTCAAAAACCGCTCAAACCGCTCATTTGAAGCAAGATTTTGAGCGTAATTGTCTAAAAAAAACCGCCCAAACCGCCCAAACCGCTCAAACCGCTCAAATCTTGCTAGAAAACCGCTCAAACCGCTCATATCTTGAGCGGTTTTTGAGCGGGATCTCGACCCGGGAATACGAGGCCAAGCTGAATCCAAAATTTGATCAAGAGTACGAGACCAAACTGTGTTCTGGTTACCCGCACGGGAGACAAGATTGTAAAAATGTTCCAATAGATAAGTGAGCTCAAATAATTGGTCACAGAGTTATAATTTGACGTTATTATACCGTATTTTAAAAAATAAGCCCACAAAACCAAATTGAAGAAATTACTCTTAACGTAAATTTTGTTGACACCTTAATTTGGTTGCTGCATCCAAAGTGAACGATAATAGCTAGTTATTGCGCAACCCGCATTTGAAAGTGGATGCTGCAAAATGTAAGCGGTTTCGGCAAAAATTATACGTATATCGTTCATTATATGATGCGAACTCTGCCTACTTACTGCATATTCTTTTAGAAACTACAGGTTACACGAACACAAAGTACACTGTACAAAGTAATAATTTTTGTTCCGACTTTTGTAGCGAAAGTAACGAAATGTTTGTAATCGGGGTAGTTTTTTTCTCTTCAGACAAATTTTGACTTTTTAACTAGCCATTTTTGAACAGAAATTTAAAAAAATGTAACACCTGTGATCTTTTTTTTGTTAAGTTGTGGGTCTTAAAAATTGCCGATTTGGCAAATTTGAGACATTTTGCGGTATGTTTTTTGCTATAAAACGCGTAGGCTATAAAACGCTATTAGATTTAATCCGTCTTAGAAATTGTGTCAAATTGACAATTTTACTGTATTATACTGGATTCTGCCTTAGTAAACTGAGCGTATGATTGATTAGTCATTAAAATAAGTATCTCACCAAACACAAATTAAACGCTAAGATTGAATCCAAGATATATTAAAAAAAACAATGAAATCAGCGAACACACCCACCCCCCCCCCCCCCCCCCCTCCCAAAACGTGAACTAAAAAAAGCTGATGTTATGAAACTCAGAGGGCGTTACAAGGGATGAATTGACCTTGGCATACAAAAACGGGGCCCCTCAACCCATAACGGTCACCGGAAGTGTAAATCGCCTAGCTGATTTCATTTCGTTGTAAGTCTAGTTGAGTGAAGCTTAAGTTTAGAACCCCAGACCCACAGAACCCCCACTTTAAAAAAACAACCGCATCCCTAACTTCTGGAAATCGTTTTTCGGCTCCAACGCAGGAAGCCAAAACTTAGATGGATGGATGATAGACAGTGTTAGGATACATTTGGTGTTATAATTTGAACCATTTCCAACGGTTGGGTCAGAAATTATTAGCAGTTGAAAAAAACACCCCTTACACCGGAAATAACCAATTTACGCAAAATAATGAGCGAGGGCACTCTGATTTTCAATCGGAAAGAGACATTCGATACGCCTCCAAAAAAGAAACCACTCTGCAAAAAAAACGCATCCCGCGACTCCTTCCTGCGTTGATACCCTTTTACCGGGAAATGTGATCATGGTCTTTATAAATGGGATAACTTGGGAAGTATAAATCAGATATGATTGAATCTTGTTAGTTGGGACCCCTATGAGACCTTGAACTTGTCCGAGGAATTTTGACCCCGGGTGACCCCTGGGGGACCCCTGCGGGACCTTAAATTGAATTGACTTTTGGGCGTTATGACCCCAAATTGTTACAGAAAAACCCCTAGATTAACACCTGAAAGTGGCGTATTTCCCAGCTCATCCCTGTAAGTATGAAAAAGGTCAGCTTACTAATAATTTGGAAGAAACTTATTTTTTGCGAACTGAAGCAGAAGCTGATACTAACATAGCTTCTAGATTGAAATCTTAGAGTATTAGAGTTAATTCAAAGGGACTTCGTAAGAATTGTCTTCAGCTCGGCTTGGCAAATGATCTATTAAAAGCAATTCAACTAGAAAAAAGAAAATTAGAAAAAATTGCCAGAAGCAGAACCGCGGTGTGAAAACTAAGTCTCACAACTTTTATGATTGGACGGGGAATTAACTTGGCTCCCCGGGGGATGTTCTAGCTTAATTTGACCACTGATATACGAACTAAGCTCCCTGATAGCTAGAGGACCGTGATTAGAATAGAGTATAGATGGAAATTATGAATGCCTGAAATGAATTAGCTACCCATGAAAAGGTTCTCACCCTGGCCCTTGGGAGGTCGAAACTTTAACGGGATAACTAAATATAGACTTTGCAAGGGTCAGTTAGTAATTATAGCATGGGTTATAGGTTGAATTGAACTCGTAATGATGTCATTGAGAAGCGTTTTCAGCTTCACTCAATAATGATCCTATGGGACTATTGCAAAAAAGATATTCCGTGATCGTTTAAAATATTTTATGTACCATACCCTTGGTGGACGATCATTTCGTTTCCCGGTATTCTCTTCTTTTTTGAAGTGGATCTCGTGTAGTCTCCGACAAGTACTATGACACCCGCTGAAAATAAAGTGATTCTTTGGTGATTAAATTTACTTATTTGGATCGTGTCTTTTTTGTTTAGTTTTATCGACAGTGAAAATCATCCAGGGAATTTCGACTCTTTCAAAATATCTCCCAAACATCGGTAGTTTTTTGTCCTCAGTGGGCTGTCCAGGAAGGATCATGTTCGTCATTCTCTATAAACTTCAAGCTCTCGCGGTCTTTATCCTGAATCGTGACACTGGTTTCCTTAGAACGTCATATTCTTAGAACGGATGTTCTAGCTTAATTTGACCACTGATATACGAACTAAGCTCCCTGATAGCTAGAGGACCGTGATTAGAATAGAGTATAGATGGAAATTATGAATGCCTGAAATGAATTAGCTACCCATGAAAAGGTTCTCACCCTGGCCCTTGGGAGGTCGAAACTTTAACGGGATAACTAAATATAGACTTTGCAAGGGTCAGTTAGTAATTATAGCATGGGTTATAGGTTGAATTGAACTCGTAATGATGTCATTGAGAAGCGTTTTCAGCTTCACTCAATAATGATCCTATGGGACTATTGCAAAAAAGATATTCCGTGATCGTTTAAAATATTTTATGTACCATACCCTTGGTGGACGATCATTTCGTTTCCCGGTATTCTCTTCTTTTTTGAAGTGGATCTCGTGTAGTCTCCGACAAGTACTATGACACCCGCTGAAAATAAAGTGATTCTTTGGTGATTAAATTTACTTATTTGGATCGTGTCTTTTTTGTTTAGTTTTATCGACAGTGAAAATCATCCAGGGAATTTCGACTCTTTCAAAATATCTCCCAAACATCGGTAGTTTTTTGTCCTCAATATAGAAAACTTAGGCTTGGCCAAGCAAACTTTATTTTCAAACATTGAAATTTGCCTGCAAACTTGCAAATTTCAATTTTTTTGTCAGGAAGTCCAATGTTTTTCCCAACTAAGTAACCTGGGGGCCTTCTGACGTTTCCACACAAGCTATTTTTGATTTTAATTACTAATGTTTCAGCGTAGAAGTTCTTTTTGAGTGTTAACTACCTCCCGCGCCCTTATGGCACCTTGTAACAAATCCTCCTATTCCGAAAATAAACAATAAGCATTAAACATTTTGGATCTACTGTACAATCTCTCACACTCTATAGTATCTACTGCAGAGCTTTTATCCCTATAATTAAATACAGTAAAGAGCAATAAAGCTTTGTATAGAAAATTCTAACTTTGCTGCTTTCTAAATGGTCGAAAGAAAGAGGTCGAGAAAGAGATTGTTAAGTAGATCCTAAGTTTTGTACCTTGTAACGCTTTTGCCCCCATTTAAAAAGGATAGGGCAAAAGTGAACAAGATTTGCTAAAAACCAAAGTTCCTAATAATTAGAAAATGTGGACAAAAGCTTCAGAACACGGAAAATTGTTACTTCTTCTCACAAATCCCCAACCGCATATAGCAAATTTACAGGCTCTTTTTCAGTTTCCTGTCTTTTTCGAATCAGGGCGAAGACCTCAATTTTTGGACTGCTTTTTAAGTTGTATCGTGTAGTATTTGCTTTAAAAAGAATGAAGATTTTTTCAAAAGAAAGCAAACAAAATTAAATCAGCGCGCTTTTTGAAAGTCATCTCCTCATGCGCTATTTAAAATGCAAAAAATACATTTTTCCTTTATCAAAGTATTAAATAGCCCGAATTTGTCTCGTTCCAGTTTTAAAACGATTTCCAAGAGGGATCTCTCAGCGACAAAAATGGCATAAAACTGATTATCTACAGAAGCAAACAGATTTCAGATCTGTTGTAATTTACAATAAGAGTTTGATTAAACGGTTTGAAAGACCGGCTGCATTAATGGACTACGCCAATTGTTGGCTTTATTTTTCTGGTTTCTAACAGAGCAACTTTTTTTGGTAAATACTACTTTTACTGTAAGTAGTATTGTAATCCGCCGTGTGTCCTTAGGGGGGGGGTCTTTTCGACGGTAGGGGTCTTTGGGGTCCTACCAAAAGTAGGGTCCAAAAAGACCCATCTTTTTTAAAGACCCCAAAGTACCCTGCCCGAAATAAAAAGACCCCTCTCTTAGAACACCCGACAGACAAAATACTTTGGTATTTATTTTCGCGCGGAGGTTAAGTTTAATCCCTTCCAAACTTTCCCACCACTAAATAAGTATGGGTATATCCGGCTGCGGTTTTCTCGCTTATTTTTATCTAAAAGCTAATCCTTTTCGTTCATATAAATATGAGTTTACATAAAGTACCATTCATATTTCCTTTTAAAAACTTTTGGTAATTATTGTTCGTTTCTCTTTCTTATTTTATTTTCAAACTTATTTCCAAGTCTCCCTTATTTTCGTTTTGCACCATTTTGATTCTTTTAGCCTTACTATTCCGGATGTTAAGTTGAGGTTGGACGCAGGAATGAACAATGGACCTTAGTGGGCTGTCCAGGAAGGATCATGTTCGTCATTCTCTATAAACTTCAAGCTCTCGCGGTCTTTATCCTGAATCGTGACACTGGTTTCCTTAGAACGTCATATCGTTCAACCACTCCAAGATGCGCAGGTTTGTCAAGTTTTGCTAGTAAGATTGCTGCTCTTCGTCGTCAAATTCCACTTCGGGCTCAGACTCGTTTATTCAACCTTTGTCTTGATCATGGACAATGTCTTGATCATCCTGTGACACGGTTATCTCTTCCAGACCCACAAGGTCTTCAGTATCCTTTTCAGGTCTATTCTGTCCCCTACGAAGTCGTCTCCGTAAGAATTACATTTTTTTGCGGGTCTAGCTCTGTCACTTGATCGTGTCTGCGTCGAAAAGGGTTGATCAGGTTCCATGTTCTTGGGAACAGGCATCTGCTTGGAGTTTTCCCAATTTTCTTCTGCATAGGGTAAAATATCTCCATTCGTCTCAATTATCTCATTAGGATCCAGGTCCAAAGCGGGCTTGTTCCGTCTTCCAGCGCCTCATTCCTATCGTTTGTTTCCGTGGTGCCTTTCTCACTGACTTCACAAGCAGGTTACATCATCACGTAATCGCCCTCTTCCATGTCTTTAGGTATACACCAGTCTTTTTTGGATGAATTGTATGGCTTAACGTTTTCAAAGTGCGCAGCTCGGCCGGTAGTCAGTCTGTAAAAATGTCCCTCCTGATGCACTTCCGTTATCATGAACGGTACCTTCCATTTTCTTAGGAGTTTCTTCGTTCCTTTCGGTGGGATAACATTCCGAAAAACCCACACGTAGTCTCCTACTGAGTAAAATTTTGCAACAGTTGTTTTCTGATCACACATTTTCCTCTGCCTCGCCTGAGCCTGGGCTTGCTGTGTCTTGCGTCAATTAGCAAACCTCTGATCTAATCTTTTATATAGACTTGTGGCGATGACTTTTTTCCTTCGTACTCCGGGTTAAACAAAAATCAAAGGCAAAGTCTTTTTATGCCCTGTCAACATCATAGGAGGACTTATTCCTTTGGTTTTTCTAAACTCCAATTATTCGTGGCAAATATCTGTCCAAATCAGTCATTTATCAGGAATAATACACCTTCAACATCGACCCCTGAGTCCGATTTCGTCTTTCTACTAAGCCATTCGTCTGAGGCTGATATGTTGTCTCATGAGCTACTAAGTAACTTCTCCAAAAAACACTTCCGTTTTTTGATCGGAATGTCATCGGAATTAGCGTCTGGCTATTGAAGTATTGATCAGATGATCGCAAGTCTCTTGGGCTGAGGCTGGTATGCAGGCACGACTTCTGCATTCTTTAATGCAAAGACCTTATCTTAACCAGTCTCTCCCAAATGTATCTAGTGGTGATTGGTCTGCACCACTTCATTAAGCTCGGATGACTCGATTGACTGTGATAGGAATCGCCTTTTCCTAGAACATTTCACTAGCTGGCACGACAGACATGCCGTCACCCACTTCTTGCATGCTTTTTTCATCACAGGCCATTCAAAGCGTTAATAGAATCCTATCTATGGTCTAAATTAACGGTTACTTAATGACCCATCTGATCATGTGACGTGGATAATACTTCCGTTTGATAGCGTAGCGGCGACATCACCGCATTTTATTTGTACAAAACCTTGTCATATTTCTCTTTTTGTATCAAAGATCCAATCCTTATTCAGATATAACCGTCTCAAATTTTGCAAATAGGACTGTCTGAAGATCCGATAAGATCAATTTTAATCCAAATTTTCAAGCTAAATGTAATATGGTCATTTCTCTGCGCTCTTAGTTAATTCAAGAGTATGTATCTCGCTTTCAAGTATTTCCTCATGACCCTCAGATGACTGCTTAACTCATCGTGCCGATGTGCGTCATCTTCCATCTTAACACACCAAATCTTTGCCATTGACTTTGCGTCCTGTTTGTATGGTTTTAGGTCAACCCTGCCTGCTTCCATCTGCGGAAACAAGCTCATCGAACGTTTTGGCACCGCTATTATCTCCAAGTCATCTGCAGCGTTGTCAAAGACTTTTTCACTGAAGAACAGGTAGCGATCACTATCAGGGTCTTGGTGCACCTCCCAGACCAAGTCTCTTGCTCGAGTCTCCACCAGCAGTCTGAGTACGTGTCAATCTCTAATTTCCTCAAGGTGTCTTCGACAGATGAGTCTACCGTGGAGCACGACTCCGCGGCAGATTTTGATATGCAGGATCTACTCATCCATTCAAGCTCTCTGGTTTTGTCCACCTGCAAATACGCTTCCTTCGGTGTCCGACTCTCCGGACAAATTTTCTTGCTTCGAAAGTGACTGTCTTCCTTTGAATCCTGGCCACTTGTTTTTTGTCTTTCACGATGTTCTCATCAAAACGCTTTGAGGAATTCAGAAAACTAGCCGCTGAACTACTACCCTACAATCCCTTTCATTTTCTTTGTGTTGGCGTCCTGATGTTTTTATCCGTATTTTCTCACTGACTGCCAACCATGCCATGGCTGCTCTCCATTTAGGAGCTTTTCTAGTCACTTTCTTTTTTAATTATGCACACAGCATCTGCATCACCTCCAGTGTGACCAAAGTTATTTTATCGAGCAATGAAAGGCTGCGTATGTTCGGTTTGAATGTAGCATCAGATCGAAGGGCACCGGGTCCTTTTTGAGTAAGATCTTAATCTCTGCCGCTTTTCTAATTTAATTCAAGATGCGCTGGTGTAAGATGTCTTGACCTGTCCAGCCATATCATCAGTGTAAGCAATTCGTAAGTCTCTTTGTCTAAAAACGAGAACCCTTCATTGATTTTAGACTGTTTGGCCTGCTTCTGTTCCGATTTTTCGTAAAATTCAGTTTTCCTGCTAAGGCTGTCAGCATTTTGGTGCTTGTCACGCATCCTCTGCTCGAATATTATTATTTGGTAGCCATCAAAACTGACTATCCAACGACCAATGTAGTCCTGGTCCATCGAATACGTTTTCAACCAGGATAGAGCTCATATATTCTCTCGCAACTTGAAGGAAGCGCTTCCCACCAAGTAGGCGCGATACTTCTCCAGGAACGTAACTACCGCAAACAGTTCGGCTTTTGGTGAACTGTGGTTCATCTCAGTATCGCTCAAAACCTTACTGTCGTATGCAATGGGACGGAGGACTGTTATTCCATTTAGCTCTTGCTCCTGATGCAGTATTCAGGAAACGGCTAACGGTGAAGCACCAGTATAAAGAACGCACATGCCTTTCTCCTGGGTATGCCTAGCACTGGCGCTTGGAACAGCTCCTGATTTCCATTCTCGAAATTTTCCTGAGCTCTTTCATTCCATTCGAATTTCTTCACTCTGTTGCGCATCAGTTGTTGCAACGGGTAGGCTTTGTCTGCGAAACATTTACGAACTCTCAATGATAATTCGCGAATCCTAGCTAGCTCATCTGCTGCGTGTCAGTTTTGAAGGCCTTCAATGTTAACACGGCCTCCGCCGCATCCGGATCCGGCCTCATGCCATGCTTATCCACTTGTTTTGACAGGTACTTCATTGAGTCCCTAAGGATCTCACATTTCGAGGGTTCGCATTTCAAGGCAGCTCTGCTCATGCAGTCAAAGACTTCATCAAGTCTGTCTTTTTGGAGTGTCAAGGTAGGTGTCTCTATCATCCACATATCACTTCACGAGATTCCCTTAATTCCTTATTATGCTTGTCAAGGCCTGAGCCATCAGTCTTTAAAGGTCGCCGTCGCATTGCACAAGCCAAAGAACATCCTCTTCCACTATTACAAGCTTGACTCTCATGCAAATCCGGTCTTTTCTCTATCCTGTTTTGGCAGGGGAACCTGCCGGAAGGCAGGACCCAGGTACAATGTTGTGAAAAACTTGGCATCGGCAAATTTTGAGCGGCCCTTGTCTATCCGTGGAATAAGGTATTGTCCTTTATGACTTTATGGTCACCACGTTCAGGTAGCATTTTTCGCAACAGAATCTCAGCTGTCCTCCTTAAATTTTTGGCCATGATGATTCCACAAACCCCAAGTGACTTCGAGGGTTCTATCAAGTCGTATTCGAGCAGCATTTCTATTTCTGCTTGGCACGCCTCCGATTTATGAGGTGTCATGCGCCTCGCTTCCTCCCAGAGGGAAACGGCGATTTCTTCAGTTCGAACCAACACGACGATATTACAACAATAAGTGTCCGCTTTATCTTTGAGAAAACTTCTGTGTTCCGAATTAAAACTGCCCTCAACAACTCAAACTTTCCTTCCCCTATCTTAAGTCTTAAATGCTCTATTTCTGGCAGAACTGATTTGTTAAACTCTAATTCATATGAGGAGGGGCATACCAAAAAATTTTGAGCAGCTCGATAAGCCGTCAATTTTTTCAAATGTCATTGAAAATATGTTAATTAAAGATTTTATTTCATCAAACATTTCAAAACAAAATCTTTATTTGTGTGAGTTGGACAGTCCTTTTCTCGATGCCTCTTCAGGTTTGGCGTTTCTTCATAGTCCGTTCTCATTGGCAAAACGCAGCCAAGATTTCTTTCACGTTGGATTTAAACTAAGGTGTCCAGTGTAATCAACAATACACTCAAACACAGCCCATTTTGTGTGACAGAAAAGCTCCGGCCTAAAATCACTGAGCTTTGACTGTTTGGTTTCGATGCCAGGTTAACATGCTTAGTATCACTCAAGGGGCTTAAGTTTTTTATCCTAAAAATTGCTACTACAGCCTGTTTAGGCTGTAATTTTATTTTTTTTGTCTAAAAAAACTATTGACTTAGTCTCATCAGTTTTTATCCTATTTACTGGTCGTTTAACATATTTCTTTTTGGGTTCCCAATTCTTATCAGTCCATTATTCAAAATAATGGACAAAAAAACTCATCCAGATGTTCCCTCATCCCATCTGGAGGAATGTCATTGAAGTTCTCTCGGCTACGTAAATGGCTCCTTGTTTGGCGGCAGTCAATCTTAAGTTCGTGGGTATCAGGTACGCCCCGGTGAAAACCATCCTTTCCCATGTCTTTATCGGCATTACGCTGACTTCTGATCCTGAGTCTAGGATTCATTGTTAACCCTTCACTCTTGTGAACCCATACGTGCTTCCTTTGTTTGAATGCTCAATGAAGTTCACTCTCGGCTCTCTGATAGCTTCTCTAGACTGTGCTACTCTATTGCTAGACCCGCTCACGTCTCCCAGTAGGCCATCCAAGCTGTCCATTAGGGGCTGAGTGCATTTTTTCTTGTTGACTCGGAAATTGTTCCAGGTCACCCCTCAATAGTTTTTCTCTTTCTTTAGCTTCCCGCCTCAATCGCGACAAGTTATTGGCCAATTACTCATCTGTCATCTTCTTAGCGTTTCTTGTTTTTACTAATATCCTGTCTGTTGCAATTTTTTTCTTCCCGCAGGCTTTCCGTTCTCATTGGCACTAAGAAGGCGAGCCTCCCTCTGTCGTGTTTTCAATCAAAGTGCTGGCAGTTCCGGCATTTCTTCTCGGTCAAGAGTCCCGTAGCGAAATTGTGACCCTGTTCTACGGGAGAAATCACTTGTTAATTTTCTGATCCCATTTCCTTCGGTTGAACGTTCCGCCTGATTCTCATCCTGAGCAGGGCTCGGATGGATCTCTTCATCCATTTTTGTCCTTTTGTCTTCCAAAATTTTGACTCCTTGTTTCAATCAATTGGCATGAAACTTTCTTCCCCTTCTTGCTCCGAGTCTCTTTGGTCCTTTCTATAAAAGGATCATTCATTGATTTCTTTTGTTTCTTCAGTATAATTTTCCCAGAGCTATCACTTACTCATGTAGACTCATCTTAGTCTATTGCTTTCTACTGCTCACTCATTTGATTCGCTTGCTACCGTATTTGTTTTCTGATGACAGATAATATTCACACAACACGATAATGTTCGAAAGTTTTACCTAACAAGTAACCACGAATCTTATTAAGTTATCACAATCACAGTAAAGCGTTTTTATTATTTATGCATTGCAATTGACTACTGTTTATTGGATAAAAGTTGTATGTGTATGTAAGTGTATTGCGATTGGGCTGCCGCAATTTGATAGTCATAGTGGTTTCTAAAGAGGGAAGTTTCCCCTGTTTAATGCCGCATTAAACAAACAAAATTTGAAGGCAGTATTTTTGTCAAGCGGGCGACTAATGCATCCACCGAGTACTGTGTTACCTATCTGCATTCGGATTGCCCAAGGTAGACCTACTAAAATTTCCAAGACAACCACTCTTCCAAAACAAAATTTTGCGTTCTAAGTAATTCGAATAAATCAGTCATTGATTAAAATAAATCAGTCAATGATTTTATGTCTTTTTTGGTCTGCATAATTGTCCTAATACCTTAATTCTGATCAGTAATTGTTTTTTCAGCAAAAAAACTGTAAAAAATCTTAGACCCCTCCGGATAGGCGTTCAGGGATCTTTCCAAACTGGCAAAAACAAGGACACCTCTGATTTGGGACCTATCCGGATTGGCAAAAACATGACCCCTCCGAATAAGGACACCTCCTGATTGGCAAAATACATGGCCCGTCAGAATTAGAACCCCTCCGGATTTGCAAAAATTGACACTTCTGGATTGGTTAAAACGGATCCTTAGGGATTGGGACCCTTCTGATTCCGCTAAATTGTGACGCTTGCGAGTGGTCAAAAATCTAAACCAAAACCCCTCCAGTTACGGTCTTGGAGCCTACTATGCAAGTTCAACTTACTAGGAAGGACTCGACTCGTTTTGGTTTCAGACCCCTCCGGATTGAAGCGAGCTGCTTATTTAACATTTTCTCTTGACGGTGATGGGACTTTTAACAAACATGTTTCAGAATTCTGCTTCCTTTCTAATTAAAGCCCAGCAAATGACTATTTGTTATTGAATAAAAAACTAACACAGCCTGATGATGTCATTTTTTTTTTAAAAATAAAGCACTCACTACCCAATCAAAATCAATTAATAAAATTTAAAAAAATATCCAACTTGAAAAAACAAGTATCAAAATTGTATGTGTATTGCAATTGATAGTGAAAGTGGTTTCCAAAGAAAAATTTTTCCCTGTTTAGTGCCGCACTTATTAGACAAAACTTGCAGGCAGTATTTTTCTCTGTCTGTATTCGATTAGGCCCAGAATCGCGAATCTCCGGTTTTAGACCTGTTTTGTTTTCACTATGATTTTTCAGTTTATATTTAAAGGCAGGTTAACAGAGCAGTCATTGGTTTCCTGTCTTTTTTGGTCTGCTTTTTTGTCCTGATATCCGAACTTTGATCACTTATATTGTCTTTTTGCAAAAATAAACTGTGAAAAAATCTTAGAAACCTCCGGATAGGCATTCAGGGATCTTCCCGAATGGCAAAAACAAGGATTCCTCCGAATTGGGACCTCTCCGGATCGGCAAAAACATGACCCCTCCGAATTGGGACCCCTCCTGATTTGCAAAAATTGACCCTTCCGGATTGGCTAAATGGGATCCCTTTGGATTGGGACCCTTCTGATTCCACTAAACTGTGACCTTTCCGAGTTGTCAAAAATCTAAGCCGAGACCCTTCCAGTTACAGTCATAGAGCCTATTATGCAAATTCAATCAACTAGGAAGGACTCGTTTTGGTTTCAGACCCCTCCGGGTTAAAGCGAGCTGAACAATTTCTCTTAACGGTGAGGGGTCTTTTAACAAACCTCTTTCCGATTTCTGCCTCCTTTCTAATTTATGCCCAGCAATTGACTATTGTTTATTGAATAAAAAAACTAACACAGCCTGATGCTGTCAATTTATTTGAAAATAATGCATTCACTACCCAATCAAAAGCAATTATTAAAGTAAAAAATATATTCAACTTGAAAAAAAAAAGAATCAAAACTGAATGCGTGTTGCAATTGATTTGCTTAAATGGTTTCCAAAGAAAGAATTTTCCCTGTTTAGTGCCGCACTTATTCGACAAAACTTGCATGCAGTATTTTCTTAAGTGGGCGACTTTTGCACCCAAAATTCTGTGTTACCTATCTGCCTTGGGATTGCCCGAGCTAGACCTACTGAAAATCTAAAGGCAACCAGTCTTCCAATGTAACCACTGTCGATTTTTTTTCGGTTGTATCCGTGTTTAGATGTGCTTCAGTTTTACTATGGCCGTTTCAGTTTTTATTTAAAGGCAGGTTACCATTGCCGTCTTGTTTGGTCACCCTATTTGTCCTAACATCTTATATCTACTCGCTGATTTTCTTGTTTTTTTTATTTATGTTAGGAGAAAAAAATTCTTAGACCCCACAGCTTGGCGTTCAGGGAACTTTCGAAATGGGCAACACTGGACCACTCCGAATTGGGACCCCTGCTGATTGGCATAAGGCAGAACCCCTCTGAATTGGGGTTCCTTTGGTTTGGCAAAAAAAATACCCTTCCGGAGTGGTAAAAACAGGGCTCTTTTGAATTGAGAACCCTCTGGATTAGCGAAAAATGAATATTCCGGAATGGCAAGAACGGGAAATCTCCAGATTGGAACCCTAATGATTCGGCAAAATTGTGACACCCTCGAGATGCCAAAAATCTAGACTAAGATTCTTCCACATACGGTAAAAGAGCCTAAAATGCAAGTTCGCCTAACTAGGAAGGGTTCGTTCTGGCTTCAGAACCCTCCGGATTGAAGCTAAGCTGCTTTTTTCAATAATTCCCCTTACTGTAAGGGGTCTTTTAACAAGCCTATTTCCGTCTTGACTCTCAGTCATTTTTTTGGTACCCTGACCCTTCCCTATGGCCGAGAACATTGTAAACGTGCCCTTTAGTTCAATGCTCAAGGCAAAAAAAAAACAGATCTAAAACGTTTCAGCCGAAAAAATATGTCAAAAACAATGCTAGTTGGACACCTCCGGATTGATGAATCCACTAAATCAACCCTGTTAATTTCCATTTTGCTGGGACCAGGAAAGTTGTTGGCAAATGGGGTCTTAAATCTGTCGATTCACAAGTGTGTGTAGTCAGAACGCACTTACTCACTTACTAAAAAGTTCCAGATTTTGCGGCGTTTCGTTTTTTCAGAAATCACGAAAAAACGGACTTCGATACCCAAAAATTTCGAACCGCGGCCAAACTAAATTCGACCAGTTCCTTGTTCTGTTAGTCCAGTTACTATGTGACTCACTCTCTCAGCGCAATCTTCCTCTTCAAAAAAAGTCGATTGCTCAAAAATTGCGATTTGGGAGGTCAAAAAATCACTTTTTAGACCCTAAACACAAGTCTATGTTGGGTCTGTTTGACTGAAAAACAGTATGAGAAATTTATTACGAGTAATTTAAATAGTAGTACTAAAAGTATAATGCCCTTCCTACTCAGCTCAAAGTCCGATATACGATGCTGAACTCGGAAATTCGCAACTCGGTTGGAGGTCACTACACTAGGAGATCACCACAAATTGATATCGTACTGTGAGCACAAAGAGCATTAACGTGCTTAGTTTTTCTAAGAGCCCAACAACACAGGCACCAAAAAAAGCCACAGTTTTGATCGTAACAATTTCGTTTCAAATAAACACCTGTAGCAACAATATTTTTAACAACATAAAACGGGATGGTCAGATCGCATCTCGTCTGGGGTAAGGATTTGTACAAATTTTATGTTTTGTACTGTTTGTGCTTTTTTTGGTTCTTTTTTTGGTTTCTTCAGGTAGTATACTACTTTTTAATTGGTTTCTCTTATAATTTTAAGTGATTTTGATCTTATATTGCGCAGGAAACGACGGGAAGGACGATCCACACCCTTCACGATACGTGAATTTTTGGTCTTAACTGTGTTAAAAAGCTAAATCGGGGAATCCGGAAGGCTTCAGCGTTCCATTCCACCCTTCCGGCCCTCGGTTAAGGGCCATTGTCCGAGCATCCGCTCGGCGCGAACTAATTTCGTAAAGAGATCGATCAAGATAATAAAAGAATAACACCCAGGAGCGCCAAAAAAACATATAAGTTACATTCGTAAGGAGGTACATATCGGCGGAAAAAGAAGCTAGTTCATGAAATGACTGGCTAGCGTCCAAACACAGCTTCAAATGCTTTTAACAGTCTATACAAAAAAAGGTTTGATGCGTGGTCCATTAACATCGGGTTGACAAAGTAGTTACAACTTGAAGGCTATCGGACGCAAAAAAACATGGTTACATGCAAAAATGGTGACTTCATGGCTGAGTCTCAGTATCCCTAGACCATGAGGTTACTCCTAAGAACAGGGTTACTATTCA